ACAAAGTTCAGAATTATTAGAATATTATTTTTTTATAATAATTCACATTTAATTGGCGGCAAAGCGGATTCATCACCGAGTTCAAGGTAAGATGCACATAAGATAAGATGCACATCGAGAAGAAGTAGCAGGTGTTCCAAGAAATTTTCCATTCCATTTCGCAACCATACTGCTTTATTTCTATAAAATCATGTATACCTACACCATGTCAAAAAATCTGAAATATTTCAACTGAAGCTGTCATAGAACAGTCAAGTCATCGTACTAAATAAACACAACAGCTGTTGTAACACCAAAAACCGATAGAATAGCTGTATCTATCCTTAATTTCTCCAGCCAAGTAACCACAAAATTTCTGTACAAAACATACCGTAGGTCCCAAAAAAGTCGTACGTAAAAATCAAATTTTGGTTTCATTGATTGTTTTCCGCGATTTTTCTTCACACCATTTTATTTCGTACTTTTACTACTTTGATTTTTCAAGTACTACTTGAAATGAACCTTTGATAAGTGTTCGTCAAATCACACAACGCATATGTTTTCCATTAGAGAACGGAGAGGCCCAGCTGATCAACATCCATCGGGTACCTGAATCTTTACTTTCTAAGGGACAAGCTGCACGAGGTCAGAGGTTGGAGACTCGCAGCATAACTTTCTACGTCCATACACCTTCTATCAACAGTTCAATACCTTCGGTGCCCTAAACTTGACGTAAAATTACTAACGAGATAAGGGTTCCAGTCAGTTCAGCTATCGCGGCTTACTAAGCGATTGGTCGTTTGGCAAAGAGGTCTACTCATCATATTGTCTGCGAATCTGCCTCATCGAACACAGTTCAACACACTAACAATATATTATATTACTAAGAAAACCTTAAAATTTATATGCGCAAGCGGGAATTATTTTGGGAGCATTAAATCAAGTCGAATACCTTCGACAAAGTTTAGGAACAACAAAATGAGAGTAATTAGTAATTTTATGTAAGACGGAACGGCACAGTTCCGTGTTGTTGAGGTTCGAGCTCGGCCAAAGTCAAATGTCCCCAGTCATTCCATCACAGAAAATGCGATACCCGAGCCCATGCCAACAAAATGCTGCGCTAAGCAGCCAGCTTGGATAGATTGTAGTTGTACTGAGCACTTTCACTGTGCACGAGGCTCTGAACTTCGTTTATGACTCCATTGTGAAGTAGGAGAATACTGACAGCAAGTGCCGGGCATCTAAGTTACAAAGAATTACCGTTGCCTAACCACGATGCTTCCAGCTTCACAGCTTTCAACGCGATGATTAGGAGAACATTGTGGGGTAAGGTGAAAACTTCAACCTAGATAAAAATGCGAAAACCAAAGATTACGAACGTATGACAAACCTTCTCCACTTATACCTAGCGCATGATTTAGGCAATAAAATATATAAAGGTTTCTAGAACCAGCTATCCTTCATAGCTAGAACCAGAGTAATATAGCTAGAACCAGAGTAATAGCTAGAACCAGAGTAATAGCTAGAACCAGAGTACCTAATAGCTAGAACCAGAGTATCCTTCATAGCTAGAACCAGAGTAACTAGTGACAATTTCGGTTTATATTCAACCAGAAACTCTAATTAATCAACAAAATACCTAAATTTTCACGTTTTTAGTGAACAACAATTTTCATGACCAGTTTCAATGAACTCTGGATAACACGAGAGATATCGACGCGCAGGTGCAAATGATCTCTCAGGGACTTGCGAAGGTATTACATGAAAGTGCGTATATCTAGGATGAAATATCAAATGAACCAGCAGAAAAATCATATACATGAAAGGAGTTTTTGTGCCTAGGCAATTATATAATTGAACCAAATAAAAAGTATAAAAGTATATATTCTGTTCAACAGGACATACGGCAAGGGAATCAGTGGTGGAACGAGTCGCACAAATAGCGCTCTTACATGTCGACGGGGTTCCAAGTCGATAGTGTGGTTCAAAAATTAGTTATTCAGAAAATTCTAAATAATAGATAAAAACTACGAATAATTAAATACTGTGAACGTTAATTGATTACGTTCGTCGATTTGTATTTAAAGGTTAAAAAAATTATTACTGTAATTTAGCTCACACGAAATGCAGAGAAATTTTAAATGATGGCATGATAAGTATACTTGATATCATAACTATCGCGTATATAATTGGCGAGTTTCTATTAAACTGTATCACGGAACCGCCATTTGCATTAGTTATATTACATCACTAAAACTGCTTTAGTAGTTTATTGAAATATAAGCGGCAATACAGTAACGCAGAGTGAGACACATATTAGTAGAGGGCTAGAGGCATCACAAATGACATTCATGCATAACTTATATGTGTCCTTAAGTCGAGTTTAGGCATGCTACCCAGCATAACGGATGGTGTGGGCAAGAATTAAAGCCTTACTATTCTCCTGAGCACTGGACTGACGAGAAGGAAGACTGGAGACTACGTAAGGAGAAAGTAAAAGTAGGGGCTGGTGCCCCGTACCGTTCAAGCAAAGCTCTTAAAACGCTTCGTAATCATTCATGGAGAAATGCAAAGCGGCGGCTGCACTCGAGCAGAACGCCCGACATGTAAAGATGCCATCGCTCTGTGCAACTACAATTATAAGTGAGCCTGGTGGGTGAACACTCAAGTATTTATGGAGAAATAAGTTGTATAAGTATTTACCAAGCAGTTGTATATTTAAGTATTTATTAAATAAAAAATAAGTAGTATTTACCGACAAGCTTCGACGACAGAAATTTTATTTTTAAGGACATTTCGGAAAATTTTACAAGCACGAAACAGAGAATGCAACTTGCCCACTCATAAATTTATACTACGATTTCCACCCTTCATTTTCCTCAAAGAGTATTCAGTGGTCATACTTGAGCCCCAATCACTTTTACTTGGATCTCAGTCAACGAGTTTGCAGAGATAATCAAGTAAATAAACCGAATCTAATTAAATTGCGTCTTATGCCTATGTTGTAATTCACCATCGTCACGCAAATTGGGTCTCAGTAATGGTAATATTTTTGCAAGATACAACACAATCTGAAGCTAAGTTTCTTTGCAGTCACTTTTTCGCATGATGGTTGATATTTCTTCAGACGACAGCAATATCGTCGTAACCAACAGATCTGAAGTCAAATCCTTTTTTACTTACCATGTATTTCTTCTCCGACACTCATAATTCTACTCTCACGTCTCGATGCATAGCACGAGTAAGCAACAGCTGACAACAGAGCACACACTCGTATAAATGAGTGAAACTTTATCCTAATAGCGATGGTACAACGTACAAGCGCTCTTTGTTAGTGCCATAACTAGGAAAGTCTGTCATTATTTGGGCAATACGAGCCATTTATTTCCGTGAGTGTAAACAGCCGGTTGGTTGAAACAAAGCCGGGAGGTAAACCAAGTTATGTGGCTTCACGTGCGTCACAGACGAGAGAAAACCAAGTCGGGTAACTAATCCAAGCAGATGGTAAAACCTTACAAATTCAGAAATATTCAGTAACAATCAGCGCGCTTAATGTTTTGACTAAGATTTTAATGGTAAACAGCTTTCATCTGAATTTTAATTTTAATTCGATTTTCAATTCAATTAATTTTTCTTCAATTTTTATTATGTCTCATTACGACTTTGACTAAAAACTTGATTTCTCAATATGTAGGAATAATTTGAGGGTTAATAAATCTTCTCTCTAGCAAAATATTAATAATAATCATCTTAGGTAGGTATTCTTTACGGTTGCTTTTTTCTGCCTCGTCAAACGAGTGATGATTTGCCGAAATTCTTCCAACGACTCCTATAAATAATTGTCCCAAGTTGCGCAATCCATGGACCATAATATCACTAGATGCTTAACCTTTCATCTTCGCGTACACTCAACTTGCAATGTATATGATTGAAGGACTTCTTACTTATTGATTAGAATTATAGATTTTACAATTATAAAATTGATTTTGTCAACTACAGTTCTTTCTAACAGAAAAAACTGAATTTAAAGGAAGGAAGTCCGTCCGATATTTCAACGACACGAGCTCCCGCACCTAGCTAGAAAGGCAGCTCATCCACGCCGACAGCTGCGAGGTTGCGATAATCCAGTAATACAACTTGGATTGGCGCGAGCTCAATCAATAATTCGAAACACGATCGTTCGTTCTCGTATCACTGCTACCATTGGGTGCTGCTTCAGCTTCACAGTACGCAGGGTTGACGGGACCAGTCGCAGTATCGTGATTAAAAGGTCTACCGTTAGTTGCCAGGTAAAGGTAATGGACATGATTTATGGTGTCCAAAATACAAAAATTTCTAGCGCGTGAACGAGTTCCATTCCTTTCTTAAATGAATGTCAATACCTTGTTTGAGCCGAGCGGCCGATGGTATGCGATAAGAGAGCAAAAGTTTTTTAAATGCAAATGAGTGAAGAAATATGGCCAAAGATGAAAGAATATTTCTTATCGAACGAGCTTGAATTGTTCGTATTTTGGAATTCGGGTCATGATCGTCTCAGTAATTAGGTAAGCAATATCGATACAGCGGCCATTATCGTGTTTGACAGCCAAGCAACGTGCCATCACGGCATTACCTACTAATTCAAAATCTGCAAAAATGCATGCACTACCTACATAGAAAACGCGTTAAGTAATGCTATAGAACAGCAAATGATCAGTGAAACTTTGTGTAAGCTAGTTTTTTAACTGAAAAGCCAATGACGTGATCGAGGTTTCTTATAGGTAAATAAATTCATTCAAGTCTAACTCTAAACTAAGTAAATAAAATAAAACATCTATTTCTTCCGAATTCCGATAAAGGCCGATCAAATGACCAATTTAGTAATTATAGACTTCACCTAAAATTTCGATGGATGTCCGATATGATGAATAGCTATTTCAATAGTAAAGCCAACTATTACTGGACGTCGTTATCAGAGCAAGAGTGAAAATGGTAGAGACAATAATTGAAATATCATTTTTTTTTCAAGAGCAGCAGCTTACCTCAGAGGCTCAAGCAACGGATCATCCAGTCTTCAGTCGTTGGGGCAAATGAATATCCCAGCGACCAGCAGTCCAGACTCCAGGTCTATGAACTTAAATTCGATACAACGAACTTAAGACAATTAGAACCCAATGGGTATTTCTTATTGTTTCAAACACGGAGATCAATAATATACATTGATGTATTCTTTACTTTAATGGATATGCAGGAAGGTCATCATACTGGCACTTTTAGTACACATGGATCATGCGTCACAACCACACTCCATGACGACAAGATTGCAACTGAACCAATCGTAGCGCCAACGGTCACCAATCCAACTTGAGGTGACAAGGCAAGCCATGTTCAAAGTTTCAGGATTCTAATAAAATCTCGGTGGTTACACTTAAAAAATCATGTACAAATACACTTTCTGAGGATTTACGCTGATTTAAGTTTGATATCACGAATGGTATAAACAGGACTGTTCAGATTAATTGTTAGTGATTATGAAAGTTGACTTACAAAATTGGCATTATGCCGGAACTCCCTCTGCCTAGCTACATTCAATCTGTACATAAACCTAAAATTACGAACGCCAACTTCCATTTCAATGCTCTCAAATTCTCGTACAAAAACTACTTCATCAAGCCAACTTGGATCCTTCATTTACATCAATAAATATTTCCAGTTATGTGTATTAATTATTTTTATACGAGTATAAAATCAAATTAAGCGGGTTGGTCAATCACATGGTTGAACTCTACTAGTTCAACCATGGGTCAATCATGCTATGGGCCGATTTCTTCAGTGCCGACACTTCTATTCTATATAAGGTGCCTGTACACAGGAATAGTACTAGCCGCTAGTTCATCCGGCGCTTGAACTGTCCACGCTACTAGCCTCGTGTATAGGGGTTCAGCCGCTTCAGAGGCATGCGCCGGCAAGTGCCCGAGGCGCGGCCGAGAGAGACAACGATGTGTTGATATCTTGGCTGGAGAGTGGATAAGTGGCTAGTGGCGCTGATGCAGCCATGGTGAGAGCATCTGTGCCGCTCCTGTGAAGTATCTTGGGTTACGCGAATCATGGCTTGTTTGAACGATAATGTTTCTAAGAGGAATCCAACAAAGTGGATTCCAGACGATATTCAATTATTCTTTGAAATATTCCAAAAATATGAATTAAAGTATAATGTTTTCCATGATGGTTACTCCAACAAAATGAAGAGAGAAACGAGTATTTTGAAACGGAAAGAAGACCTTATTAGTCAGGGTTTAGGTAGTTATTACCGACGCTGTATTTTTAAGGGCTAGAATATGGAGTATAAAAAAGACGTACAGACTCGAGTTGTTGAAGGTGATCACACTATTCATCTTCACAGACCTCACTCGACGGCTTCTAACGACTCGCTGGCGGGCGCGAACGAGAAGATAGCGGCACCTTATACTCTCCTCGTGTGTACAGGCTCACTAGCCGGATAGTCACCAAGCGACCGACACTAGCCAGATTTACTAGCCGTCTGCACTATCCCCGTGTACAAGCACCTTATGCTATGCTGTAGCGCTTTTAGACGTTTCAGTCTAGTTAAAAAATTAAGGTTACACAAGACCGTTGTGGCCGTGGTTGTGGCTGCACATCTCGTTCCGGCTTTCTGTTTATATTTATTTTGAAATAGGCAATACGTTGTTATTGTAATAAATTACACAGTGTGAGTTCATTTCGTTTAAATATATGGGAAGGTTTCTTCTTCAATTGGTTTTATTTTTATCGTTACATTTTTTATTTTATCCATGTCCTAATGTATTGTTGTTTGTTTTGTGCCTAAATTTGTACATTTTATAACCAACAGATTCGCCCGACTTTGCCCGAATCAAAGTTAGGAAAAGTACTTTACCTCGGCAAGAACAACAAACAGCAAGATTATAGTATGAGAAGACATGATTGCAACGAGAAGTAATGATTGAAAAGTCTAGTGTTGAAAAAGATTTAGGACTTTTTGTAGACAATGAGCTGAAATTTTCTAGGCATATTGAAACGCAAGCTTGTAAATCCAATTAACTTCTTGGACTGCATGATCAGACGCTCTTACGAGTTCCTAAATGCAGAAACGATGAAGCTGTTGTTTGTTGCAGTTGTGAGCCTGAACCTAGAGTTTGGAAACGCCGTCTCGCCGTGTGGTCATCGAAACTGAAAAAGGACAAAATTTAGTTGAGAGTTTTCAAAGACGTGCAACAAGAGTAATTCTAGGCTTGAAGAGCAAGTCTTACGAAAAAAAGATTGAAGATTAAGAAGCTTCCAAACCTCTGTTATCGACGAACGCGTTCAAGAACTGACCAGATACAGCTATGGAAAAATATACATATGTTCCGACTTGAAATGCCTAGCACAATAACGAACCTAGCGAAAGTCTAGTAGCTATTTAAAACTATCGCCAGTTTTTGAAAGAATCTGGTCGAACGACCTGTGTGGTCCAAGGACGAAAATACACTCAATCGACGATTCCACGGACCCGCCTGCGAACTCGCCAGCGGACTCGCGCAACTGGGACACTCATAATTCCTACAATACTTAACGGATCTGTATAAATTTTGGAATGTGAGTATTAATTATCGATACGCTGCCGCAGGAGTTATTACAGATTTTTACATGAATTATTTTTTATTTAAAATACGTTACGCGGCCTGTCTCACGGCCGGTCTCACGGCCGTGACTCAAGAAATTAATCGTACATGGAATATGTTCGAAACTACTGGACCGATTTCAATGAAACTCGGTATATAGATTCCTGACCACCTAAAGGTGATGTCGAGCCCGTTTGAATTTTCGCGATTTCCTGGATGCTTGAACTAATATATAACATAATTCAACCATGATCGTTAGACAGAATTTTTCTGCACTTATGTTCCTGCATATCAGAAATTTAATAAGCTCGAGACCTTTTACAGGTCACTTAATTTTTACCTAAAAATTCAATCAGTCTGCTTCACAACTAAATGTCTACAATCAGTATTCAGTCTTTCACACATAACAAGATGATCCGTGGAGAGATCAATCAGAACATGGTTGAGGCTGAAGACAGTTGACTTTCCGAGTTCCGACTGTCGTTTTGATTAGAGTGGCACGACTGGTTGCTCCGACCTTATTACCGTTCAGTTTCATGTGCTACAGACATATAAACGCTAAAATATTACACAGTTGATATGAAAACGTCCAGAACTAATTTTATTCAAAGTCGTACGTCTGTCATTGACAGGAAATGGTCGTAACTTCTACAACGAAAATGATTCCAGAAACATCGTTTGTTGCTCTCACAGTCCCCAGTCCCCACGTTTGTTGTTCCTAGTGGCCAATGAGGTTCGGTGACGTACCAGTGACACGTAACGTTTATTGTGACGAGGTTGGAGTCGGAGCTGGAGAGTCCGCGGCGCTCATACGGCAAGCATATTTAGATTGTGCTCTGTGAATGGTGATCAACGTATCGATTACCATTACTTTTTTATTTTACCTCAAAACTGCTCAATCGGTTCTGCCCCAACCTTGAATATTGAGAGGTTGAGATTGTATTGACCTTTTAGGCAATTAGAAAGATTTTCCACCGTAATACGAGTATTCTAATTAAAATATTTAATTTCAATCTTTAAATATGTGAATTTAATACTAGACACAAAACTACCTATTACAATTATAAGACTATATATAAAATAATTAAATGCAGTGAATGGATATAAAATATTTGAATTGTGCACTAGTTTATTTCAAACAGTGTTAGCTTTTCTCATAACTTAAGGGGACCGACCTGGCTAAAATTTTCAATTTTGGCGTTTTCCACTTTTTGGGCTCATCTTAAAGCTTACTTTTTGACGCATCCAACGGTGCCAGAATCATCCCTCTACGTCGAAAAATGATTTCGTGACAGCTTCCCAAAGAAGGGCAGTTTTTAGGCCCTTTAACAAATGTCTATGGGATTTAATTACCGGGCTGGACAAACTAAAAAAAACGCCTGACGTAAAGTGGCCAATCATGGCATTATCCGGTGCAGGCGGTGCTCATACCTACTCATCTTAAAGCTTACTTTCTGACGATTCCATTGGTGGCAGAATCATCTCTCTACCTCCATTTTTACGTTCACCACGCCCCATGGAATGGGGGGTGGTGGGGGGGCCTTCACTAATTGCTAAGGCAATAAATAGGAGGCGTGACTACATATACTGTGGGATGCAACGCAATCTTTCAGATTCAGTGCCTATCATGACAGCAAGGTGGAAGGTGGCAGCCACTCGCTCTACACCTTCCTTTCTTACTTTTAAGGCTTAGTTTTGGTATGTTGGCTACCATAGTGACAAACCAGAGATTTTTTAGAATCAGTTCATTTTTAATTTCCTCATTTACTCAAGATTTTAACAGATTTCTTATGTATGATAATTCTGGTATCCATAGTGACAAACCAGAGATTTTTTAGAATCAGTTCATTTTTAATTTCCTCATTTACTCAAGACTTAACCCAATTTCTTATGTATGATAATGCTGGTATCCATGATACTTTGCTGGTCTACTTATAGGACTCAAGAATGAACTTGAGGAAGAGTCTAAAAAACTCTCTGCTTTGCCACTATGTTGGCTACGTTACGACTCTTTTACGTCATTTTACGTGCCGCCCGGCAGTCTTTTGGCCGTACTGAAAACCTCATACTGCTCTCACGGCAAATCTATCTCCTCCTACAGTTTTCAAGCTACAGCAATGAGACATATACCATTCGATTCGTAAAGACCAGGCCTATCGACTCTAACATCATTTTTTTTTAATTTCGGTCTGGTTCGTTTTTTATATGGGGGACTGTCTCTTATACACATCTAGATGTGTATAAGAGACAGGTATAAGCTAGCTAACACATTTAAATTGTATATTGTAATCAATATATAACAAATAGTCAAATAGTTAAAGACTACTTATAGCCTTATAAGAATTAGCTAAGCTGCTAGCTATGTACAATGTGTTGCACACTTGATGCCTCTGTACCAAAAACATTCAATTTATTGGAACCTAATACACACTAAAGGCAACAAGTTCATATACCAATTTGTCATTTATAGTACATTTTTACTAAACCATGAATAACAATACCTCAATATAAATTAAAGACTGCCACTCAATATATTTAAATATATGAAGAAATAAAAAGAGTAAAAAAAATCATGATTTTTTATAAAAAAATCAAGTGATTTAATCACATGATTTAATCATTTTGATTTAATCATTGCCAACCCTGATATGTTTTGTCACATAACTAATCAATAGAGAATGCTCTGAAATGGCAAAAACATGAAACATTTGTACTAAATATTTATCCATTCGCACTGAAAAATTGATGGCAGTAGTATTAATGATACGTGACTGGCAGCAGTCACAGCTGCAAAACTTTTTAGAGCACATTTTTTAACCCAATGTTCCTTCCCCCGAAAGTGAAAATTCAAAGACTGATGCAAAATGGCAAGTTTTAAGGCATTTTCTAAGACAAATAGTCAAATGATGACAGGTATGGGAGTTACCAAACTTGACGTGAGTTTTCCAGAATGAAATTAATAAAAATCCATATATTTGTCTCCTAAAATTTGTCTTGAATTTTCCAGAATTGTTGAGTGCCTCAATTGGAATTTCATCATGATTGTGGACAAATTCACTATCCTAAGTGGCCTAATGTACTTGCTTTTATACACATTAAATGTTAATTTTTCAGTATATGCCAGTGAAAACCAAATTGAAAATTCTGAACCTCTGATTCCAGAAGAAGGTATGTAAGTTATTGATAAGGTGTTCCAAGAATATGTATAATTGATTCACAATTAATTTGATCCTAACACTCACCAAGTGTTTTTTATTTACCTTTTGATTTTTTTGCTGTTGCCATGAAAAACATATGTTTGTACAAATATTTGAATTGCCTAAAGCTTGATTGATTTCACATTTTCTTTGTTGTTTTGTGGATAATCTACATAGGTCATAATTATTGTAAGATAACTGTATGTATCTGGAGACCCAATTATTTAATGTGATAAAATATGCATGAAGGTTACTTTCAACACTCCTTCAATGCTGATGTATATTCAGAGCAGCATTGATTTTGGAAATAAGTTATAAAATTTCATTGCAATTAATAATTTTCAGATATCCCTGTGGTTTAAGGCACTGCACCTGATTTGATTATTCCTGAAGAAGATGGAGTCCTTGTCCTAAACTTTGACAATTTTGAACGCATCATTGCTACCAGGAAACATTTGCTAGTGGAATTCTATGCTCCGTGGTTGGTCTTATGGCATTTGGATGGATGGTCTTGTTGTATGAAATTGATCAACAAGTCAATAAATTGTTTGCAAGGCTGAAAACAGAGAATATATAAACTAGACCAGAATATCTATTCTCATATAGTTTTTAAGGTTTTGTTCAACTAGTTTGATCTTCCTTTGGCATCTGATTATGTCAAATTGATGGATTTTTTTATTTGTCAACATGGACAAAATTTACATTACTAATACAGTTATATAATGATCCTTAATTGAACTGTAAAAGATACTTCTGTTAAGAATTTTATTGAGAATGTGTTGGTAAAATTTTGATTCATAACAGGTGTGGACATTGCAAGACCCTGGCTCCTGACTATGCTGCAGCTGCTCAACAGCTTAGGAAAGATGGTCTTTATCTTGCTAAAGTTGACGCAACAGTAGAGAGTGCTCTTAGCAAGCACTATGGGGTCACTGGCTACCCTACCATAAAGTACTTTCAGGATGGAAAACTTGTTGAAGATTACCCTGGAGGAAGAACCACTGCTGGTTGGTTTTAGATTATCCTTTCTTTAGATCTACTCATCTTATTTATAATATTAATGACTCAACTTTACTTTTTGTTGTTAACATTTTGCTGCTTTTTTTGTCATTGAGACAAGCTAGCAATTTCAGCAGCTTGGCAATAGAAGCCTGCAAACAGATATTTTTCATCCTACTATTTATTAACTAGCCTTTAGGTTACTTTACAGTTTACACAAGCATACAAATTTTTAAAGCCCTTCAACCTCCATAAAGGTAATGCCACCATATTTCTACCTAATAGCAATTGTTGAGTACATGAAGAGGAGAAGTGATCCCAACTACAAGCCACCACCTTCGGATGTCATTGAGCTCGTTGCTGAAGACTTTGATGAGAAAGTTAAAGCTGCTCCTCTTATGCTTGTGATTTTCTATTCCCCTACCAATGCGGCTTCTCAACAGGTATTTATCCTGATTATTAAAATCAGAAATTTGTGTTGTTTGCCTATCTAAATCTTTTAATTAAATTAATATGGTTATTATTTTTCTACTTGTATTGAAACAGAAGCCTGCACAAGCAAACAATTAAAAGGGCCTCATACTTGTCAACTAAAAATTATGTGTTTGTATCAATCATTTGAGAATATTTATGTCTTGGTCTTTGATGAATTAGGACTTGTGATTTTGAAGTTGGTGAAAAAATTTTATTTTGCAGTAAAATTGAATACATTTATTTCTTAAATTTGCATTTTTGAATTAACTCTTACCTGGGAGTGTACAATTCTTGCCAGATCTTGAGCTACATGATGTGTTTAGTATTTAATTGATTTAACAATAATTAAATTTTTATGAGCTGTATTGTTAATGTATGAATTTCATATATCAGGTGGCCCCCGAGTACAGCACTGCTGCCACAACACTCCTCAAGGATGGCATTCCACTTGCCAAAATTGATGCACAGTCACACCCAGATATTGCTAAGACATATGGTGTATTTGACTACCCAACTCTGAAAGTGAGTCTTCAAATATTCATTATTGTGCATGATTAACTTCAAAATCTTGCAGTGTAAGGCAATGGAAATATTTCTTACCTATGAATAGAGGTTAACAATTTCATAAAAATTAATAATTTGTACGATTTCCTAACTTTAAAAGATTATCCTGAGTTAACCAACTTTTATAACTGTATCTATTGCGCTGAAGTGTTCATCATAAAACCTACAAATTACAGAGTATTCAACCTTTATTGATATACTATTTATGTTGATTCATATACAACTTTACTAGCTAATATTACTATAACATTTAGTATAGAAAATCAAACACAATTTTTTCTTTAAATTCTAGAGAAATAATTTGAAATGTTACTTTTTTGCGGATTTACATTAGATTTAATCTTCAGAACTGCAGCAGGTCAGTTTTTATAAGCATTACAATGTGCAATAAAATTTTAATTCAATGCAGGTTTTTCGTCATGGTCAAGCTTTTGAGTACAAAGGCAGGCGAGGTGCTGATCACTTCATATCCTACATGAGGGAAATGGCTTTGCTTCCTTCTGAGGACCTCAGAACCTCTTTGAATGCCAAGAACGCCGTCCAGCGCAACCTCCCCACCATCTTCGGCTACTTCAGTGACAAGACCTCCAAGTTTTATGAGAACTTCATCACTGCCGCCAACACACTCAGAGGTTAATTAATATACCTATATCACATGCCTGATAACGACATGAAGGAGAAATATGGCGTCAGGCATGTGAATATCTGAGTTCATTCTCTGAATATATGAGTAATCACTTCTTTTCCATGTGTAATTTTTCAATTCATTTCAATTCAATTATTACAACATTCAATTAGTGTGTGGCATTTATAAGTTCAAAGATTCATATATTTATCATTAGTATCATTGATGCATGTGCATTCATTCCACATGAAAATTTTTGTCGCACAAGTGTTATGCTTATCAAAGCATTTACTTTCTAGGAGACCTGAAGTTTGTGCACACATTCGAAGCCAGCGTTGCCGCAATGTATGGTATTCCCGTGGACACTATGGCGGTTATCATGCCAGAAATTTACCAGTCTCAGTACGAGGATAAAATACGTGTCATGGCAGAGGTATGCACCATACACAGCATAAAACCACTAAAACTATGACTAGGGGTTTGGCTTATTGAGTAGTTTTTGGTTAGGGCTTTTAGACGGTCTTGTCTATACTGGTAAATCTGCTAGTCTGTTGTCAGTCTAGAATTCAGTCTTGGAATTATTTTTCAACCCAAATTGTCAGTTAGGAATCATTGTTAAGTGATTAAAGCTTGGTGTTCAAAACCTTGAATTGGTTTTCTCAAACTCTTCCCTGTAAGAAATAAGTATACCTATGGCGAGACATTACAGGAAGTGGAAGATGACACTTCTGTAAACCATTTCATTCCTTGCTGTGTCTTGTACCCTAATAACTTCAGAAACTTCTCATGCACTCAATACAGACAACGGAACAAATTTATCAACATTAAAGGGTGTTGATGTTTTCATTCGGGTCTGTTGAACTATGTTTTTGTAATAAAATATTTTGAAATGTGTTATCGATTATTCAAGTTTCTAAATATTTTGATGCAATAATTGAATATAATGTTTACTGCAGGCCTCCACTTCGGACTGGACGAGCCTGGTGAGCTGGGCAAAGAGTAAAAGCGTGCCTTTGTTGGGTGAGCGGACGGCCGCTAACCAGGAGCTGCTGTACTCAGCACGTCCTCTGCTCGTCGTCTACTCTGGCGTCGACTTCTCACATGAAAATATTGGTGGTGAGCTTGACGATTTGTTGTTCAACCGCTTGAGTCGCCACTGCACTTCAGGAGTCGGTCTTTAACAAAGACTACCCATTTTAATAATAAAACTGAACCACAGCTTTCTAGCGCGGTCAAAATAGCTTCGTAATTTTCATGTGTTAATAAAACCCTACAAATCAAAGACTGCAAGAAGCACATATTGTTTGGTTTTCATCAATAATAGTGAACACTAGCGACATAAGGATTTTCAATTAGCACTTGTAGCACTTGTCAAGTGTAGCCTGACGTCTACTTGCGTGAATTGGCATGATACATTATGGCATTCATTTTATAATTACAAGTATTAGGAATATTAATGTACAAATTGGTATCAAGGCAATAAACAATGCCAATGTGTGTTTTGAAAAATAAGAAAAATATAATTATATTGAATATATGAATACTCATTTCAAGTATTTAACAAGTAAAATTGAATATATTTTTATTGACAGCTGCCCAGCATCTGCGCTTAAAGCTGCTGCCGCTGCTGATCAAGCACCGCGATGCGTTCACGTTCGCCATGAGCAACGAGGACGCCTACAGCGACGAGATGACCAGCGTCGGGCTCGGCGAGACTGGCGAGGATGTCAACGCTGCCATCTTTACTGGCCGCGAGAAGTGAGTAGCTGCACCTTATGAAATGAAGTGCAATATTGCCGTGCTGGAGGAACGGTATTCTGATGAGAAGCATGAAATGTACTGCAGTATTGTCGTGCTGGAGGAACGGTATTCTGATGATAATCATAAAATGCAGTGCAGTATTGTCGTGCTGGAGGAACGGTATTCCGATGAGAAGCATGAAATGTACTGCAGTTTTGTCGTGCTCGAGGAACGGTATTCTGATGAAAATCATGAAATGCGCTGCAGTTATGTCGTGCTTGCGGAACGGTATTCTGATGATAATCATTAAATGCAGTGCAGTGTTGTCGTGCTGGAGGAACGGTATTCTGATGAAAATCATGAAATGCACTGCAACATTGTCGTGCTGGAAGTAAGTTATTCTGATGAAAATCATAAAATGCACTGCAACATTGTCGTGCTGGAGGAACGGTATTCTGATGATAATCATGAAGTGCACTTCAGTATTGTCGTGCTTGATGAACGGTACTCTTCTTGTGGAACGCAACCGTGGTTGTGGCAAGTTCTCTGTGCTTGTAACATTTTTTTGTGTGTTAGTGGAAGGCTTTCTGTACTTGTTATATTTTTTCGTGTTTGGCAAAATCTTTTGTATTTACAGAATGTTTCTTTCCTTTGTGTTTTTTCCTCGTTGAATGTTTATGTAATATATTTATTCACAAGTAAATATGCAAAACTTCTTCAAATGAACAGCAGTAAAGGAAAGGAAAGTATAACATCATCTAGCTGGAAATGGTTCTTGAAAATCATTTGATTTTGTTACCTTAAAAGTAATAGCTTGTTTGATTCAGAACATTGCCGAATAAAGTGAACATGATATTATTACCTCTATTTATTTAGTTGTGAAATTATTGAGCTACATTCCTTAAGAACTGCAGCTGTATACTGTTTTTTTTTAATTGATTTTGTGTCGGCTGAACAAGTTTTCTTCCTTTTTAGCGTATTTTCTGATTGAGCTTTCAGCTTTTTGGGCTATTTAATCAGCTATTAGAATAAATGCGGCTAATTTATATGCTTTGAATGTCACTTGTCAACAGGTATGCAATGGAGCCTGACGAAGACTACATGGAAGAACTAGAAGAGTTCATCACCAAGTACAGAGCAGGCAAGCTAAAGCCCTACCTCAGGTCGCAGCCTGTACCCAAGAAACAAACTGGACCTGTTAAGGTTCTTGTCGCCCGCAACTTTGAAGAAACCGTGCTGAGCGGCTCTAAAGACTACCTCGTCGAGTTCTATGCTCCTTGGTATGGAGTTGGGGCTATTATATATACGGTTTAGTTGTCTAATTTATTTATCATGGATCGTTTCATGTAAATTAGAATTTATTTTTCAAGTTATCTATATTTTAACATATCCCTAATATCTAATCCAGCTTTAAGCCTCGTGTCGTATACTCAAGCCTTTGAAATACCTGCTTTAATGGATTTTTGTTTTTAAAAATCATTGTTTGCTTCCATTTTGCGATCATCAAGAATTGTAATGCTAAAAAATATGCTTTAGTTTCACTTTTGTTTGTTCATTAATGTTCAAGGTTCCACCTGAGACTTGTCTAATACGGTATCGGTGACTGCTATTCCAGCCTATGCCGTTATTCTGTTATTCCTTACATAAACTTTGATGATGGCCAGATCTTGAGTTTACCGCAGTACAGCTCTGAATGAATGCTTTTAATACTCACATTATTTGGACTATTTTTCTTTTACGATGTTAATTCTATTTTCTTAGCCTGAAAAAGATTTCTGAAAAATTTGTTGAGTCGTCATCTGCAAATATGTTTGGGTGTCTCTTTATTTCAAGCGAATGTACTATTGTTTGCATGCAATTCTTATCAATGTATAAACTAATCTGTTTTAGCGCCCGAAATTGAGAATTGGATGTTAACTTTTCCATCACTTCTGTTGTGGTGACCGCTAAAAACGTACATCTGAATGTAGTTAATTTGAATGGGGATTGTTATATTTACCATGAAAATTTATTGGTACTATATGCCTAACCTATATTTTAATTCTCATCCTTCAGGTGCGGCCACTGCAAGAAACTTGAACCTGAATACAAGAAACTGGCCAAAGACTTGGCGACGTCACAACCTGACGTTGTTGTTGGAAAGTTTGACGCTACTGCGAATGATATACCAACGTTGTTTGGCGTCAAAGGATTCCCTACCATCTACTACGTCTCTGCCAAGGATCTGGAGAATCCTGTGCCTTTCGAAGGAGACAGGACTTTGGCGGGACTTAAGGTTAGAGGTTAATCTTTTTAACACCGATATAATTCATTTTACTTGTTTGTAGTTTAGTTGCTGTAAATATTATTAAAATTTACAATTACTACGCATACCTACCTATACTACTTGGTTTATAGATGTTCGATACCATGGTTAATTTCTTTCCTACTTTTATTTTGTTTATTAATTTACCAAAATTTTTCATACACAAGACTTAGTCTTCAAATCCCATTTTAACCCTCCTCTAATTAATGTACCTCGTCTGCCGGACGAGATGACTTTACATGTAAAACATTTCAATGGCGTAGAGACCTAACTATTGTTCTTATGATTCTAACTTCGCATAATGCAAGGAGAATTTAGTTTCAGAGTACTGATCCAGATTACCTGCATATGAAATGTTGTATCTCTTGGATGAAAATTTTAATTGGGACAACCGCAAGGACAACTTACAAGGCATCATGTCCCAGTTTTCGAGTTTTTATAATTGTTAAAGTATTGTTTACCATGATGTTTATCTCTTGCAGGAGTTTGTCTTGCAGCAACGTGCTTCTCATGCGAGCAAGGACGAACTATAACTCAACTGTAACGACAATCATGACCACCCTACGTTATCAGTCTTTCTTTGTTTCACTTCATGAATCTTGCGTCGCCTCAGCGGCCTGCTATAAAAATGCACGTGTGAAATTTGTGTGTTCTTTTACGCAGAGAGGAAACGTTTCTCATGTTGAAGCCATTTGGCTTCAACATGAACTCACCTTCAACCCAACTCACCTTCACCCCCTACTTCTGTTGAAAATATCAAGTGCTGTTGATAATTTCTTTCGTGTATAAAGCCGCTCACATCTTTCGTCTCTCTCTTCGACGCTACATTGGAGAGAAATCGCGCTCTTCTTGAAGGATAAGTTCACTCTACTATCTGTGACCTATAATTTACAAATTTAGGCTTGATCTGAGTAGAATGTGGCCTAAATATCCGCTTGGAGACTTAATAACCAAACTGATTGTTAGGTTATTAACTGTTCATCAAAAATTATTCGTTGGACTTCATCTTCACTGTTTGTTGAAATGTACACCGAGTCCCCAGGATACGAACTTCCGAGTTCCGAACTTCGTACTTACGCACAAAGCTGTCCACAACTCCAAGGCCTGTCCATAAGGATAATTTGCATACCCTCCGAGCTGCGGCAGCAGCAGGAGCGAACATGTGCGGCGCGTTGCATGTCGTAAACAATAGCTCCCTCACTGTACCACTATTGTACCACCTCACTGTACCATTATTGGTACAGTGAGGCGTCGTAAACAATAGCTCCCTCGCTCCATCACTGTCCCATTAATGGTAAAGTGAGGTGTACTATTATTGGCTGTACTGTACTTGTTACCGTAAATTTTATTTCATCTATACAGAGTATTTGAAGGTAGTTCAAGCACATTAAAAACTACCAGTGCTTTTGCTGCAGTGCAGGTATTGTTTTTACCGATGCGTCCGACAGTATAGCCGGTTGTACCGTAACCAAAACGTACCGTATGCTCGCCCTACTTTGGACATACGAACGAATATACTACGACGAACAGCCTCCTGGAACGGAACTTGTTCGTTACCTGGGGACTCCCTGCAATCGGGACCTATTTCTCAAATCCCAATCGTTATGCAGCATTTATTCTGTCTCAGTGTGTTTGATGCAAAGAAGCATCTCTGTTTCGAAATTCTCAATGCGTTTTCACTGTTTTTGTCTTAAAAGCATTTATCTAATGCCCTTGAGTGCGTGTGTACGGTACCACGATCTTTCCATAGAGAATAACTTTTTCTCTAAAATGTCTCTTACATTCCTTTTCGTCCATTGATTTTTCTTTTGATGGAAACTGGGCTATGCAACTACGCTAGTTTTATTTTTACTGCAAAGTTACCTTGTGTTGTTATGCAGCCCAAAATAGTATTTTTGCTCTTGATTGCTTTATTCACATTGAAACAATTGCATTGTGAGCATTTACATCGATAACCCGTGATCGTTTTACTGTAGTTAGAGAAATTTCACTAATTTTTTGGCATACATGTTCGCCAAGCCTTTTTTGCGGTTGATTGTCTCTCACTAATGTGATGATTTTTTTCGTTATTAGCTACTAATACACACGTGCCTCTGGTTAATAACTGTCATTTCAATTGTTATGTGACTAAATGTTAGTCGTTGTGATGTATCATCTGCTCAAACTACTGTACTGTGCTTGCAGGCGGCCACGAAACTTAAATATGATCGTTATTTTCACTGCCAAATTAGCCAGCTTTAATTTGATTGCATCATCGCAAATTTTTTTCATTATATTCGCTGTTTTTAGGCCAAATTTATTGTTACAATTCACGACCTTGGCATTTGAATTTGAACTAATTCCTATTGTAATTTATTTATTTAAGTTTATCCATACGGAATCAAATTTTTATGTTGTATTTCTGTGTAAGATTAATTTAATAACTGCAAAAACTTGCAGTCTACTAAGTATTGATATTTAGGTCGTTCCTTGGCGAATAACACATGGGAGGAAGCCATTAACCGAGTCATCTTGGCATTCTCTGAATGGATAATATGTAACATGGTATTTAATACTGGTGCTAACTCGTAGAATATTCAAAACTCAGAATTTAAGTCTGGGTAATTTATTTCGCATATTTGCATTGATATCAAACATTCATTTTTTGCTTCCAAATAGCAGACAAACATTAACTAGTAATTTTGGCTATTTGGCTATCCCGGGGGATCGTTGAGAAGCACTCTGAATTAAGTAAAACTTACGCAAGCTCTGTGATGGAGCATAAAAATTAATAACATCTTCTAAGTTCTAAAACTAGCTAGAGGCATTATTTTAGGTTACATATTTTTACGCCTCTGTTACTTAGTTTCTTTCTTTTGCTCGCTCGGTCGCTCTTCATTTAGAAATCTTAATGTGGCACCGAGAATCCCGTTTCCTCGAAAGGTTCGTCGATTAGGCTCTGTTGATTCTTTCGCTCTGAGGCTTCGGTTAATATGACACGCACCGGAATCGCAATACAATGCACTTACTCGTCTATGTTAATTATATATAGATGGAAAATTTTATTCCTGGTTAACCATGGTCGTTTGGTTTGTGAAGAAATGTGGTTAATATTTTTTGTAAATTTTTAGATTTTACATTTTGCTCCAACACATATCCTCACCTCCTCATGTATGTTAGTTTGAATTAAATTCATAGCAAATGCTCTCTTCTGCCACTTTTTTTAATTTTGGAATCAAGTAAACTATTTTGATGTAGATGAGGTTATAATTGTACGCAGTTGGAAACGCTAATGCAAAAACTCCACTTGTGGTGGCAGGGGACACACAAATTGTAAGCTACGTTGAGCTCCATGGCACGTGTGATGGAAGTTATCGGCAAACTTTTTCACTTTTTAATAAAACATGAGAAGTATCAATTTTCCTTGCTGAGTATTACTTTTCCTATCCGATTTAATTCCCATCCGTGCATTCTTTTGGTCAACCATAGAGGGCCCTTACACTGTCGAGTCTGGTTAGCAGGTCCTAGTCGGCTAGGTTGCATAATACTCCTAATGTACCCTTCCTGGTCTCCTATTGTATATCACAAAGTAGTCATGTGCTCGTAACTCTGTCAACCAACCACTGATGGCTTTGGAGCCACTTTATTTTTATCTCTCGATGACTAGAAGTTTAATACAAACAGTACTTCAAATGTTGGACAGAAATTCTAAATAGTCACTAAAGTCTAAACTGACGAGTCTAATCTCCGCCGAATACTGCTCACACTACAGATGATAGCCCGCCTCAAGCAATTACCCCTTTCCCCAACATGGCGCAGCGTAATAACTCGAGACCAACCAAACCTTTTCCGTACAATATCCCGTCATCCGAAGACTATGACACACTGCTTGCAACAACGCAGGCTCATGTAATAGAAGTCATACCAGTTGCGTTTGAGGATACCCCTACATAGTGCATCCCCAGCAACACATTCGGCCCGGACCAAAACTACCCACTGAAGCAAAGGACGCACCCAACCGAGATGAGAAACATCTTTCTCAACCATGCATCTACAAAGCATGCCAACCCTACGCATATTTACACCGACGGCTCTAAGACGAACGGCGCAGTGGGATGCGCAGCGGCGGTGTCAAAACGACTCAGTTCAAGCTCGTCAATCTACACCGCTGAGCTCGTCGGTGTCAGCTGTGCCCTTAGCCTCATAGATGAACTGCCCGGAGACGACTTTACCATATTTATAGACTCGAAAAGTGTGGTGCAGGCTCTGAGAGTTTATACGTGGTGCACGCAAAAGTGTGGTGCACGCACCCTATCGTCCGTGAGATCCTGACCGGGCTGGTGTGCCTGGCGGGGGCAGGGAGAGCGGTGAGCGTCGGCTGGGTGCCCAGACACGTGGGGGTGCGAGGCAACGAGAGGGCGGATGAGGCAACGGTAGACGCCGCCTCATCAGACCAGGGGAACTATAGTGATCAGGTACCTTGCCGGGACCACTACCCTTTCATCAAGGCAAGCATCCACCATATCTGGCAGGAACAGTGGCTGAACGTGAGAGGGAACAAACTAAGAACAATTAAGGACTGTGTACAAGCGTGGAGTTCGTCATACCAGAAATCCCGGAAGATGGAGGATTAGCACTGTGCAGACTAAGTATCGGCCACACGCGCCTCCCTCACAGCTACCTGATCGAACGCCGTCCAATGCCGTATTGCAATGATTGTTTGGTACAACTGACGGTTTTGCATATTATGGCGGAATACCCGAGCCACAGTGATACCCGGCATAACTACTACCCTAACACCACTGCTCTCAGCCCAAATGAAATGCTGTCTAGTGTCTAGAATGTTGAGGGAAGTTCCCTGAAGCATCTTTAGAACTGACAACCTTAGACAATATCTAATCGAGTGTAACCTGCTGCCGGATATCTAGCACGGCACCGTGACATAGGTTAGAAAAGACCCACACCTCCCACAAAATACCACTTTCGTGTCAGCACATTCCTGATTGAGATGAAGCGACAGAAGACGGATTGGACCTGCGCCTCGGAAATAGAGAAGAATACACCCAAGACCAGATGGATCAGGCTGCGAGCCTAAAACCAACGAAGAAACCTGAACCTGCGACACCGAAAACTGCACCTTCGGCGCGAAATAGACGAAGTTGATCTGAAGCGCTAAAAATCTCCCCCCCTACTACTAATCATACTGCGTAATGCCGTGGCGAAGTAATACCCGAGTCGAGGCAAGCGGAGCCCAGCAGTGGCAGGCCCGGGTTGGTTCCCATACGTACGCGGATTTGGCAGGTATGGTGGGGAACCATTGAACCAAGAAAAACTCGCGAGTCAAAAATCAGAAAATTATCATAACCTCTAAATGGTATAGTTTCTACTGGAAAATTTGACATTTATGTAAAATTCGAAAATTAAATGGCTACATTTTCTTGCTTTGCTACTTTTTGTCTAGTGGGTTTTGGGGAACGTGCACGATCATTCCTAATGACTTTGATTATATAGTCGCATTATATACATGGTGCAAGATTTTTGAGCATTGAGAAGGAAGGCTAAATTCCATTGAATATTTATTCTCACGCTCAGTTTTGATGCAATTACAAATAATTCAAAACGACTCAGAGAAGGATATAAAATTACGTTCTTAGCACGATTGTTCTCCAAAGTTCCCTCATAATGTAAGGTCGATAGTGGCAGCCGCCAATTAGGTAGCCCGGCGTTGAGTAGAGCTGAAGTAGACGAGTTCGACGTACGTAAACTCGTGTGTGGGGAGAGCCGGTTGAGTTGCGGTGAAAGATGAACATAGGGAAGTAAGCTCCAACTTTGCCTTCTGGAGTAAAATCGTACTTTTTCATTTTTTCGATCTTTGATTCCAGTGCTGACTGCTAAAACAATAAGTTTCCTCCCCCAACAATCTTCAGGTATGCGACGGAGAAAGACCTCTCGACAGGTGCGTAGTCTTCATGCTCATAGGTTAGAATAGAAATGAATTATCGGCAGTTCAACACTGAAAAAATAGACCCATGGCCTGTTGCCGATTCATGTACTTTTCGTGACTTGATTCACAAGGGATCCGGCCTTTTGAACCCGATCTTTCCATAAATGACGATTGATTGAGATAGCTGCTGGAATTATAATTACCTGGTCCGTAATTAAGGTGCTAGGCATTTCAAGACTGAACATATGCTCCTGCATAGCTTCGTCTAGTCTGTTCTTGAAGGCGTTCATACCCGGAGCGTCAACGATGCTATCAGGGAGGCTGTTCCACATGTCGGTGACTCGAAGTGAGAAGAAATGTTGTCGCATGGATGTGTTACAACGCAGTTTTTTAGATTATAACCGTGGCCCTTGGTGTTGGTTCTTGTTTCAAATTCTAGTAATCTTTTTGTTCTGGGACCTTGTATCCCATTTATGCCGAAGGTAAGAAAAAAAGCTTGAACAAGGAAAAACCTGATAAAATGGCTTCATTGAGACACAACTAAGTAATTTATCCAGTTTATTCATTAAAATCAGTTGGAAATAATAAAATATAAGGCGTCCTACATATAGGACGCTAGGCATTACGGAACAAAAATGGCACAAAATTGATTAAGCTCTACAACAGAAAGACTCTACAGTACATCTACTTTTTGTGGAAGTTTTTGAAGCACTTGACGTGTAATCCTTTATCACACTTTTCACACCTAGTTGTAGTCTTCTGGTGAGTGTGCACAGCGCGTCTGCTTGTCTTGAGGAATGACAAAATGATTGACGTTGTCAAACTGTTGCTCTGTTCCTATATCAGCAGGATGGCCTTTGCAACCTGGCTGTGGAGGTTTTGCGTAGTGTTCAACATAATAAGACACAACTCGTCTACGAAATGCTAGCAGATCGAGCTTCTCAGCATCTTTATTCCTTCTATGAAGAAGTCACGCGTTGTTCATAGAAACATCGATGAGATATGACACAATGGACGAGTACCATTTTTTACCTCTTTATTGACACTCTGTACTTCGATATGTTCTCATCCATTCTATCTACACCACCCATTGACTTGTAGAATTTTACGACTGCTGGCTGCTCTACTTGGATCCGTTGTCTTGTCTGCCTTGAAAAGCGCGTCGTCTGGGTTTGGGGGTAAATTCCAACAGCACTTGAACATAGAGATACCACACTGTTGTCATTCCATCGACAGATTATGATATTGTATTTATCGTCGACTCTGAAATCATGGAAGCCTCGTGGTTTTTTATTTATCTCTTTGACATCAATGAGAGGACACTTCTCGGTCCTATTTTCTCTGACTGTGCCATTTCCTTTCAGTCCCATCTCTTTCAAGGCTGATATAAGACTCACACTAGTTGTGAGTCTTATTGTAACATTGTAAAATTTAACTCTTAGTGAATAACTTCAAAACAGAGACATTATGAGTTTATGAACTAAAGTCTGAATTAGTCTAAATTCGGCAGTGTGTTGAGAGTGCAAGTTAGACATTTTAGATAGAAGCCAATTATCTGACAAAACAAAATTCCACACAATGTACCCATGAATGGCCCTCTGCAACTAAACAATGATTCCAAATAGTGCATCTATACATCAATATGCATGAAAAAATATGTACATTACGATATAAAGCAAAAAAAATCAGAAGGTTTTTCCAATAAATGGATGTACTGAACAAAGCTTCCTGTGACAATTAGTTTCGTTCAATGCCTAGCGACCTACATGTAGGACACCGTTGTTTAGTATTACCTCATGCCTCACGTGTTGAATATTTTGATATATCTCTATTCTCTATCTAATAACAGGCTATTATACTAAAAGAATATGCACCTCATGACACAAAACAGTTATTCCTACATTTGGCATAACTTACTTTTTTGGTGACGCCATGCTTTTTCAGGTGAACTAATGAATGTACATAATTTGAGCGCTCCTGTGTGACAACCTCCATATGCTATCTCTAATCTGCAACTGAAACTAGTTTTGGGAAAGAGTACTGAATAACATGCAATCGGCAACAATTCGTATATTAGTTATCTATCATCTGTAAGCAACAAAAAACTTTTGATGGTTAGCTGACCTACATGTAGGACGCCAGGCATAAATGGGGTATAAGCCATGAGCATACAAATGCCTAGCACCATATCGAACCCGGTGGAAGTCGAGTAGCTATTTCAAACTATCGTCAGTCATGAAAAGATCCGGTCAAATGACACGATTTTAGATCTTCTGTGAACAAGGCACGAAAAGGAAAAGAATCGGCGACAGTCCACATCAGGCCTACACTTCAGCGCCGAGATCACTATGTTATGTTATGTATGCTTCAATGAGGTCCCCACGCACGACGATAACTGATGATTGGAAGCTTCATAATCTTTAATCTTTCCTCATAGGACTTGCCTTTCGAACCCGGAATTATCCTTGTTACACGTCTTTGAACACTCTATTAAATTTGTGTCCTTTTCAAGTTTTGGTGACCACACGACGTTTCCAAACTCTAGGAGGAACTATTAATTATCAGAGGAACTATTTGGTAATCTATACACGACGCCTATGAGGAGGCTCTCTTTGCCTTTGAGAGAAAGTTCGCACCACACTGATTCTCTAGCTGATAGATGCTCTGCTGATAACTTGAGTTGTTGGGCCCCATAAGAGATTCTAACCCACAAAGCTACACCTCTACTGCACTTCATTCAAGTTATGCAAACAATCAAAACCAGTTGCTTTCGGGAACGTTCAACCAAACAATGTTAAGTCTTCTCTCTCTATCCAGCAGTTCACGAGTGCTCTCGCTGGCGAGATCAGAAATGACCTCTTTGCGGCGTTTACCTTCTTCAAGTTCAACTCTTTCTTGTGGTTCTCCTCAATTTCGGCTCCCTTTCTCAATTCTTTCTTGTGAGTTTATTCCATTTCAGCCTTAAAAACAGGGAATATTGACTAGCAGAACACTTCTCTTTCACCATCTTTTCGTTTTTTACAGCGCTAAGCACAGGTTGTTGGCAGTCCCGGCAATACCAGTATACTGTCTCGTTTCTGCAAATAACCGAGCAGTCTGTCTTGCTCAACTTTGCACAATTGTTGATCACAATATCCCCCCAACGATCACAGGCCACTGTAGCGTCATTGACGTTAAGCGAAATCTGCTTGCAAAATTTACAAATTTTCCCTCCCCCATGTTGCGATTTGATCTTGCCATTTGGTTTAACAGGACTGGAGGCCTTTTCAATTAATCTTTTTCCTCTCCGACCAGCCATCATGAAATGCAAGAGCTAAAAAAGTTAAAAACTGAATAAAGTTGAGTTAAAATTGTACAAATTTCCAAAGTGCTGTAAACACTCGGTTACAGATTAAGAGTAAGCGGCTTTCAGTAAGCGGCGATAAGGTGTTTTTCAGGGAAGAGGTAGGTAGAGCTTTGACAAGAAACAAAGGCTGTATACTGTTCTGCGCTGGCGAGGCAGTGCAGAACATTAGGGGGAGTGAGCTGAACCAATACGTGACATTTGACAATGCATCGTCATCCGAGTTGAGGTGGCCTAGCACGTAAACAATGTCAAAATTGTTCACGCCAATACGTGACAATGCATCAGCATCCAAGTTGAGGTGGCCCTGCACGTCAACAAAGTCAACAGCTCCTCAACTGTCCTGGTTAATCAAAACATATGATCTTCATGTTGAGCAAATGAATAAGTGGCTGATGATCGGTATGTAAAGAAAATGATATATCAAATAGGAATGGTCGAAAAGTCGAAAGTTGTACCAGATATGCACGTGCACCATACCCAGAGACATCAACCCATGTTTCTTATTTTGGTGGTTTTCTTCCCGGTTATCAGGCTAAGCATGTTCAAGATCCTGTTCCATTTGGTAAGCTGTTCCAAGTTTACAAAATGCATTGCTTATTTCTGGTGACCACTCAAGAACTTTGGATCTCCTACCACTCGTTAAGCATGATGAAGGTTTTTGGGACTCTGAGCAATTAGGGAATTTTTAAGTTAATGAAGCCATGAAAAATGTTTTTTTGTGGTCTGGGATAAATTTTAGCAAAGATCGAGTTTTCACGATGCCAGACCGACTCTTGTGGTGGGTGGCCTAGGTATCTAATTTCTAACCAAAATCAATCGCACCCTGACGGCTTGATCTGACTATTGCACGACATCAATGTATGGTGGACTTTTTAGACAAGGTTAAGGTGTTCCATGGACTGCACCTGCTCTTGCCTCACCCCACAACAGCAGCTCAGCGGCGTCGTTTGCGCCGAAAAAAACTATCACAACTCGGGCCACTCCCTGCTACCGCGACGACACCGTGAGGTTGCCGCAAGAATAACAGTGACGCTCAATTTTGCAGTGACAGTTATGATATTCAATGAACAATTAAAAATTTTTTGACTTTTTTATTAGCTAGTGAGTATTGCACTGATATGCTTCTCTCAGATTGTTTCTCATCTCATTGTTATATTAAGAAAGTACGAGCTCCTTTAGAACAAGTCCGTGAAATTGTAAATTTCATAATATATCTCATAATAATTATTTAAAGAGTCAGAATATCCGCTGGATCTCAGATTCAGGATTAAAAAAAATAATAATAAACAAATCATATTCGAATTCCTAGTAATCTCGTAATCTCAACACGAAACGTGAAAATTATTTTACCTAAATAAAATATTGTACTGTAATCTGTACTTCCTTTTTAATTAATTCTACGTAAGAGAGAGTTACATCAGTTAACTCATGGAATGAGTAGTCAATAAAAAGTTACAAACTTCAAGGACAGTTGTCGGGATTGCGTGGCGGGGGCGTCGAGGGCAGGGGACAGAGGGCCGGCGGGGGCCTATAAAGTTGGTTGAGGCGCAGGACAGCTCACTGTCTTGTTCCAGCACACGGCGCCCCGACACAACTCCGGCACCATGAAGGTGAGAGCTCCGTCCCTCGTACTTGTTATGAGGACAGCTCCTGGGTAGGCTGTATTAGATTATAAATATGAATTTACTGACAGCAGAATGCAATTTATCCTTCTCCTAGTGTTAAATTGAATGTTGAAGTTATTTAAATAGGATTTTTATTAACATAGACAGTGTCATGAGTTGCTGATTGGGCTTATTCCTGACGTCGTGCTGTGGTTAGATGTAGCTTAAATTACAGATCCTATTTCCAAATTTGTGAAAATATTTAGGCAACACCTTATATGTATTATCCCAATGCCTTGCATTTGCCCGCTAGTGCCATTAAGAATCTAGAAGCATTGTTAATTTATTTTTTTTCTTCAGGTCATTCTTTTCTTCGCTCTCGCGGCTGTGGTGAGAGCATCTCCGGTTAAAGCTTACTCAGCCGTGCAACAGCCATCCTCCTACTCCGGCAGCAACATTGTTAACGCCTTCCCGCAATACTACACTGGCAGCAAGATCGTCAGCATGCAGCGCATTCGCTCCAGTCTACTCTGGAGTCGTGCCTTTCGCTAAAACCTACTCTGTAGCCGATATCGCCCCAGTCGCTCAAGTCTCTGCTTTTCTTACACCTTTCGCCTACAGCGCCCCTGTTGCACGGCTCCTGCCCAAGTCGGTTGCTGAGACCCCAGGATCCAAGCACGTCGTCTTCTAGGCGTAAATAACAGCAAGAATATTTGGCCCGGCTCTGAACTTGAACAGTCTCTTGTTGTCGCGTTTATAAAATAAATATTAGCGGGTAGGGTACGAAAAAGAAAAACTTCTCGTCAACTCAGAGTATTTCCCGTGAAGTTGGAAGCAGAACCGAGGCTCTGAATTTAAACCGGACGCGTCCTGTGTAGTTCTAACACGCTCCAGCCGCCGTTTCGCGCACATATTTCGTTATTATAAGGTGCCTTTAGCGTAAAATCATATAATTATACTTAAAACCCTTGTAGTTGACATCCAGTATAGGAGCGAGAACATTTAGTTTTGTGAGATTAGCCAACCTGTGTCGTGTTAGATTAAAAAGCTTGTGGCCGACTGAGACCGCCATCCGTAAGCGTGAATCTAAAGCTCGTTATGGGCCTGGCAGAATTCAAGTGTTAAAAAATAGTGCCTGATTATTCTGTAGTAACGATTGAGATTATCATTTATTTGGTCAATAATTAGCTATCGATTTACCTGTCTTATTCATCATACTTGCCTGACATATTTTCCTTTATTTGAGTTTTGGAGCCTGCTTGGTCAGGTCATTAACTAGTTATGTGCCAATAAAGTAAATAATGTTTTTATCAGCTTACAATTCAAGAATTTTGTTTGTGCAACTACTGTGTCCAAAATATCCACAGTGTCCAACTACTGTGGATACTGCCACGAATACTACGAATAGCCACAACTGTGGGATTCGATTAAATAAGTTATTTTCCTAAATGGGTCTGGATGTGCTGGTGCTAGGATCTTACTGGGGTAGAATTCATTACTCTTTTGATTTGCTTACTGTATTTTTTATAATGAATGACAAACTTTGTGCTCACGCAAGCATTGTCTGATAGAATATATTTCAGCTTGTTCAAAGCATTTTTCATTGCATTTCGAAGCCGTGACACAAGTGAGTAATCTATGTCTAACCAGGGTGTAAATTTATGTCTAAATGTAGCGGAGCGACCGCAGGCCAGTATTAGCTCAAGCCGATCTGAGGCCAGTATAGCACCTGAGATTACTATTTGGTAGCCATTTTAAGAAAATTAATTTACCTTCAGGGCAATGGGATTTTGAATTAGCCTAAGCTGCTAGTTATCACGATGCTTACCACTTATTGTGCCTTAGCTTTGCCTTATTCTGCTGATGTTAGCATTAAAAATGTTTCAGCTCACGTTGATCAACGTCCTAGATTTATTCTGAACGTCTTGATGTCTAGGCTCGGCAGCGCTCCCGCTCATTCATGTAAATTTTATCCTCAGCCAATAATCGTGATCGAAAAACTTCACTAGTATATTGAATATGATGATTATATCTTTATTCAAAACATGGATGTAGCATGACTTTTTTTTTAATTTTCCAAAATGTATTCGTTACTATTTTAGTTATGTAGACTACAGCAGAATTAGCCATATTTCCTTTTCATATTATAATATCGAGTTATTTTGAATTTCGTCGTATATTTTTTAATTCGACTCCCAAATTATACTCGTGCAGCTACGTTGCTTAGGTAAATTTGATCATTTGGTCGCATAACGTTGCCTATATCAAGATCGCGAAATTCGCGAAGTACGTTCAACTTTACCATGCTAAATGAGCTATACAAAAACGTGATGACTTACCCCAATAGCTTGGGGCACTATACTTCGCATCAAAGGAATTAGATTGCTCTAATTGCTTTGAAACACTTTTTCACTTATAAGGACGACTTGCTCCAATAGCCTGGAACACTGCATATAATTTGTGAAAATTTTATGAGAAAGCATGTGTTGAAGGTTCAATAGCAACTACTAATAAAAGAATTAGAATAGTTGAAAAACGCTATCATTGCCACACATCTATATACCCTGTAATTGATCGAAGTTTTGAAGGGACGCAAAATAGATTGAAGTTTTATGTAAGGTTTGAAGGACAATTAATATTTGTCATAAATCGTACAATTTGAAATAATGAAGGCAAATGAGAGACTTGTAGAACAAAATGTCTGGTCAATCATGTAGACATGAATTTGTGCAATTGTTTTCAATATTATTCTATATTAATTTTGTAGGTGTGCAATTGACTGAATCGAAAAAATATTCACGACCAAATCTTTGATAATTGTTGCATTATTTTGAAAAAAATGCTTACATTTATGTACTAGCTCATTCAACTCAACTCTATTTAATTTTCCTCTTTCTAAATTATTCTTTGAATGTGATCTTATAGCCGGATAGCCAACATTTATCCAGTTGACTGTCGGAAATATTTGAAGTTAAATAATTCAGCTGGAAAGCCTTATCAATCTACAAATTTTTGTTTTATTATATAAACTGTGATTCGAGTTTCCACTATTAAAATTAAATTATCACCATAAGCTCAACGAAATTTATTACAATAAGAAATGAAAATGAGTATCTTGAATGCGCTTAGATTTGCATTTAAAGTATTTTCTCATTTTTCATTCCTAGAAATTACTCCTTAATTATGTAGTTTGCTACGTCATCAGTCACCGAAATGAGTACGTAGGCTGTGTCAAGAAAATTGTACCACCTTCTTGAAATATGTTTCAAGAAAATTTCTAGTAAAGAGAAGATATGTAAACATATTTAAAGGCCTTACCAGTAGTTTCACTTGTGATTAGCTGAAGGATGTGGCGGATATGTCTCAGGAACAACCTTTACAATTTTTCAGCACGAAAAAGGTAAACTCCAAGGCTTTGATCACAATAATACTGTGCAAACTGCGCTCAATTGCGTTGCTAACGGTGGGAATTCTGCAAAATTATTATGTTATTAGCAGTACAGATTTATGATTTACATTCATAATATTGAACGTAGAGTAGCTATTATTCCACTATTATTATTATTTATTACACTCGTGATGTCACCTTGGTCGTCGTGACATCAACTTGTGACGTCACCGTGTGATTCAAACTGATTTGTAACACCTGTTTTGCTTAAAATAAGACGAGTATGGACGCGCTCAAGAACAGACTAGACGAAGCTATGCAGGAGCATATGTTCAGTCTTAAAATGCCTAGCAAATTACGGACCAGGCAATAAGACTAGACGAAGCTATGCAGGAGCATATGTTCAGTCTTAAAATGCGTAGCAACTTACGGAGCAGGCAATAAGTCCAGCAGCTATCTCAATCAATCGTCAGTTATGGAAAGATCGGGTTCCAAAGGCCGGATCCCTTGTGAATCAAGTCACGAAAAGTATACGAATCGGCAACAGGCCTTGGGCCTATTTCTTCAGTGCCGACACTTCTATTCTATTCTAGTTGCAGGAAATAAATTTTTTTGGGCCATTTTAACGAGGTCAATTTTTTCATGGTTGAACTAATACAAGGTTTTCCCTAGTGCAGCTGCGCCTTGCGGGTGTCATTTGTTATTCCAACTGTGACGTCACCTTGGCTCTTGCCTCGTGACGTCAAACTGATTTGTAGGACCGATTTTGGTTAAAACAAGACTAGTTGAATGCAGTAAATAAATTTTCCTGGGGCATTTTGATGAGGTCAATTTTTTACATGCTTCTAAAGATGACAAAAAAACCGTGTGTTGATCTACACTATTTACACTTTGTGCCACAGTGACGTCACTCTAGAGATGCACAGAACGGCGAAAAATCGTTATCGCCGTGGGTCAACCTTAAATTAGTTCAACCATGGATCCGGCCTCCTAAACCCGATCTTTCCATAACTGACGATTGTTTGAGACAGCTGCTGGAATTATTGCCTGGTCCGTAAGGTGCTAGGCATTTCAAGACAACATATGCTCCTGCATAGCTTCGTCTAGTCTGTTCTTGAAGGCGTCATACTCGGAGCGTCAATGATGCTGTCAGAGAGGCTGTTCCACATATCGGTGACTCGAAGAAAGAAGAAATGTTATCGCATGGATGTATTACAACGCAGTTTTTTAGCTTATAGCCGTGGCCCCTGGTGTTGGTTTTTGTTAAAAATTTTAGGACTCCTTCTGGGACCTTATATACAGGGTCCGCCATATTTATGGCAACGCATGTTTTTTGTTATTTCTCAATGAAACAAACGGGTGCATTGTTTTTTTATTGGAAAAGCTAGTAGCTAAAAATTACCAAAACAATTCTCAAACATATTTATTCAATATGACCACCCTTATTTTTAATGACGGCCTCCTCCAATCTACGCCGGAAAGCTTCACAGGAGACACGCAGCATTTTTTGAGGGATCAAGTCCTATTTTCGTGTCAATTTAGGCTTCAAACTATCCAAACAATCATGAGGTGTTCTGCAGACCCTACTCTTTAAAATAGCCCACACAGAAAATTCAAGAGGATTCAAATCAGGGCTTCTTAAGAGGGCCATTCATTTTTGCTAATGAACGCTGGTATGTGACCCTGAATCCAGTTTTGGGTCATGCTTGAGCCATGTGATGGGGCAGAGTCTTGTTGAAAACTCCATGGTGAGCCGTTGAAGTGTTTACGGGCCCAAGGTAATAACACAGCTTCCAAAATGTCCGAAAGAAATGTATCGCTGACTGTTCAATTTCACACCTGAGGGGACAAAAACGAGTGGGGACCTCCCAGTGGCGGTTACCGCGGCCCAAACCATCACGGACAAGGGATTTTGACGTCGTGTTGCTGTTCTGGTTGCCACAGATCCATCCCGACTCCGAACTCTGTCATTTTGTCGGTTAACGCTTTGTTCAATGTCAATTTTTTCTCGTCACTGAACACCAAGTTAATGCATGAGATCCAGAATGTGCTGGCATCTTTCGAGCCTTATTCGTTCATGACGGTCTGTTAGTTCATGCCTTGTTTGCATCTTAAGGGGTGGTTTTGAGGTCATCTTTGAGGACTCTACGCATTGATGTCTGACTGACTCTTGCTTCTGCAGCCAATTTTGCAGCTGAGCGACGAGGTTTTCTCCTCAACTTCTCCCTCGTGTTTTTGACCAATTGTTTTGTTTAGACACTTCGTTTCCTTCCTTGACCAGGTCGATTGCATGTTTCACCAGTTTCCTTGAATTTTTTTACCACCTTCTACACAGTTTCACGACGAATTTGGAGCTTTTTTGCAATGACTGAATTACTCTCGCCCTTTTCATGAAGGGTTACAATTGCATTTCTATCTGCTGCCATAAGTAATAGTAAATTTAGACACCTTAAACTTCTGCAATATAAAATAGATGAATTAATAGATGATATTAAGCTTCATTATAAAAGAAAAGTCTCCTAGAAACCAATTTTTTTATATAGCATGCAAACATCCGTTGCCATAAATATGGCGGACCCTGTAATATGTAAGGACAGACAAATTATGTCTGGGACATAATTTGTAACTTGGTTTGAGCAGTATTAAAAACATTTAAATACACTCCAGAAAGTAAGTTGTTTGAACCGTAAATCATTGTCAGCTACTTGATCGTTTTCTTGAAGATCTTTCATTCGTTACTATTATTGATTTGCTCAGTAAACTAAGAATGGCTAAATATTTCCAACTATGCATTGTAAAAAATATTTTCTCTCGTTAAGTAAAATATTTCGTCTATCTATACCTAATTATTGTCAAGGTAAATTCAAAACTTATATTCAATGATTTAAAATTGTTGCATTCTAGCAGAAACCCACAATATGACGTGATATCATCAGAATTCCCTTCAGGCTATGCAGAAAGTCTTTCAGGTTGGCGCTTGTTTGCTGCCTTCTGAGTTTCACATGCGAGTTTTGGACGAGAAGCAAGAATCAAATTACCATCAAAGATAAAATAATATGCGTTTAAAAATGACTTTTTAAAGACAACACTTCAAACGAATCAGTGTCTCCGATGTTACAAATGCACAATGAATTTCTAATTTTACTATCAAATATAAAAGATTAATTTATAAATTTCATTTTTTAAATTAAAAAAATGAATTTTTCAAAATTGTTTATTTTTATTTTATCAATTGATTCATGCATTACCTCCGACTTAACGCAAGTGTTCAAAATTTCACATCGATTGGACAGGTAGAAGTGTGTTAAATATCGATTATAAGATTTGTTTCAGATCAATTGTTTTTTCACTTTTTTAATATTAAATTTTTTTTTATTTTTAAAATTATTTATTCTGTCAATTGATTCATGCATTGTCTCTAACTTTACGCAAGTGTGCAAATTTTCAGATCAATAGGAGAGGTAGAAGTGTGTTAAATTTTGATTATAAGATTTGAAAGCAGACAAACAAACAAAGAAGAAGTGAAGTTGAAGAGAAGTGTTGTAATAAAAAACCTAGTATTTTAAGAATATTTTAAGTTATCTTTTCGAGATGTGTTTATGACACCATATCCATTGCCATGTTACAGGCTGACACCATCGACGCATATAGCGCCATTAACAAGAGGCATCGC